ATAATCTCTTACGGTTGTTTTTCCTGAATGGCAAATTTTCCACTGAGCTTCAATGGGTGGGGGGAACACGTATAGCAAATAGTGATGATTTACAATGTAAAACCTCAAAGCACTTTATGAAATGTGCTTCCACTGTTCCTAGCTCAGGTTATGAGGAATATTTATAGCCAAACAAATTATGATTCTGATGTTTTCACACTGCATGCTGTGAAAGGAGGAAATAATCTGTTTGCTGTTACCCTGTTGCAGAGCATTTCTATGCATTCAGAAATAAAAGGAATGAACTTAAATTATACTCTTAATTAACCTTGAAAAAAATAATACAAATTAAATTTTATGTAAAATTTACTTTAAAAATGTATGTACAATTTACATTTTACTGTTATTCTTTTTTCGACTAGCATGATACATAGTCTTTGATAAGCTCTGGCTTCTAGTATGTTGCCTAGTGTTTTTGGACATAGTTGAGCAGAAATGAAGTGGTACAAGAAGAGAGGTTTTCTTAATTTCCTTTAGAAGTAGCAAATGAGTTGACAGTTGCAAGCCAAGATTAATCAATAGATGTTTAAATGGGGACTGAGACTTTCAGAATCAAAGCAGCAGACAGTGAAGATGGGTTGAAGGGAATTTACTTCATTAGTGCGTGAGAAAAGCAATTGGAGGAAGTTTAAGTTTGTGTTAATGGATTACTGTTAATTGAGAATGCTAAGGGAAATGAGAGGAGGAAAGAAGTACCGATAGCTGGCGAATACCAATTTTCACGATTTTGACTTAAAGGAAAAAGGTGGTAAAAGAGAAGAGCTGCTCCCATGAGCTGAATTTATGACAATAAGAGCAAGGTTTTTACCCCTGGTGTAATTGTGGGTGCAGTCTTGAGCTTGCAAATGAAGTGCTAGCAGTTGATGCTTGTTTCAGGGTGAGTTGGATGGGAACCTTGAGCCTGTCTCTTCCTGACCCCCGTGTTTTGTCAGAGTCTTGAGATGCTGTTGTGCTGCTGAAAATTGCAGGAGCCCTTTGGAAATCCCCCTTGGAGGCCTATTTGCTATTTCTCTTTGTTAAAATTTTAGGGTTAGGCTTCATGACAGATCTGGCCATCTGGAGATGTCTGGCTGAAAAAGCTGTGCTATATAAAAGCAGAGCCTTCTTATGGAGCTAGGTGTGGGTGGAGTTTCGATTTCAAATTGCTTCTATACTTAAATCTTAGCTAAAAGAGGACTCTAGTAAATATTTCTTGTGTTTGTTGTGGTAGGAAAATGTCATCTTCTTTCATGAGAACCTAAAAATCAAAGGAGAGCTTATTATAAGGTACGCTAAAGGACACTGCTGACACACTCGCCAGATAATTCAAAACACATGGTTTATAACTGCTTTTTAAACTACAAACTATTCTAAAAATTTACTTAGGCTCTGTAATTGTGAGGTGGCTCAAAGAGTGATTATGTGGTTTAAACCTATAGTTGCAAATGTTGACTTCTTAGAGCCGTATTTCTTAATATTACTAAAAAGAAAAGAATAGAAAGATTCTTTGTGGTCTAGAGATCATTAGAATGTGTTAACCTAAATTGACCTTAATGAAATTATGTTTTTTGTTTGTTACAAATAGAGAATAGCATGAAATTATAGTTTTGGAACATAGAGAGTCTGAACCAAAAGACTCAAACTTCTTTAGTTTGGTTTTGGTTTTGTTGTTGGTTGTGTTTTTCTTTTTTTTTTTAATTGTAAAGATAGAAGGCAATAATAGATTGGAAGGACTGTGAGGTACAATGGTGTGCCATCATAACATAACATCATAAAGTCAACATAACAAATGAATAGAATCTACCGTTTTCTTTGAGATAAAGATCTTTGTTCAGGCTCTCATGTAAATGTGTCTAACACTGTTTATGCAATGTCAGAAAGACAAAGAAATCTTAGTTATTTAAATACACTCTTGGTTTTGCCTCCTCCAATTGAATTGTTGGAGTAGTGGTTGAAATGTCAGAGGTTAAATTTAGAACACTTATGCTACGGAACTTTTGGTAAGTCCGTACACAAAACTTCTTTTGAAATGAGTTCACTTGTTTTTTCTTTTGTCTGTAGTAGAGAATAGTTGATATACTTGTCAAGTTTTAGGCTTTGCTGGATTGTGTAGAAGCTTGGAGGAGAAGATGCCAAAAAGGTATATGCCAAGCATCTCTGACTAGGTTGGATAAAACCAGAACTGGATAAAACCCCACTCTCCAACTTCAGAAGTCTTGTTGCAGTATTAGAATCTCAGTTTCTCTGCTGAGGGAAGAGAAAAAGCCTGCTTTGGTGATTTTAACTATACAGTGCAGGCGGATTTAATAATTACATTAAGCAGTAAAATGTATTTTGACAGGGGCTGTTGGGAAACTAAAACTGTGTGTTAGAAAAGATGAATTGTTGCTAAGCTGATTGACTCATAACTCAGTATATCAACAGAGAGAATACTTTCTCTGTGCTTGTTACTAACTTCATTTTCTGGCGTGAAACTACTGCCAAGAAAGTTGTTTCAAAGTGAAATACTAGTTGATGACTGAGATTGTTTGAAGGACAGCAGGCAAAGAATGAGCCGTCCAGTCTAAGTTTGAAAAGCATCTCAGATTTTTACCTTCCTGCTAAAAGCCAGTTTCCTGTAGCAAACCCATGGAAGCCACGGCATTAGTATTAATGCTCTCTCACATGGCCCATGAATCCTCAGTGCAGTTTTATTTCTTTCATGTTCATCCAACTTATCCCCCCCCCCACCTTGTGAAAGGAATGCAGTGTGTGCTGGAATAAGCTTTTCTGAGTGCTGCATAATGTACTCTTCAATTCACAATTATATCTGCAGGAGCATTCAACAAATATTATTCATTTCCTAAATATGTCCTGTAAGAGAGTCTGGTAAAGTGTTACTGCTACTGTACTTTGGATTCCAGACAGTAAAGTGGATGCCAGAAATTGTGTCATGGTCTCTCAGCAGCAGCAGAGTTTTTTTCATTTCTAGTTCTCTAGCATGTTAGCCACATCACAAATTGACTTTGTTGTAATGCTAAAAAAACTACAGCCTGCTACATTCTCGTAAACACATTTTCACCTCCTGTTGAACTACTGAGTTCAAATGCTTCAATCACCATAGCAGTATTAAGTTTTGAGAGATCAGTATTAATTTGGGTTCAGTGGTATATGGATCAAAAGGAGTGAATGACCTTTGATCGTGGTGGTGAAGTGGATGGCCCAACCATCTGTGCAGAGAGAAGAAGTGTAATTTAGTGCCTTAGTGTAAGTTGGTGAGAAAAGTAGTGAGAGAGATGGAGGCCTGTGTTGGTCATGCAGCTGGACAGGCAGATGTGCTGCAGGACAGAAGAGGACAGGAAGCATGGAGAGAGAGGAGTAAATGACATGAGTATCGTTGGCAGAATCTTCGGAGGGAGGGGAAAGTGTAATTATTTAATAGCAAAAGAGCCATAAGATATTTCATTTACCTGTATTCCAGCCTTTTCAGATTACCACTCACTTTGTATGCTGGTCTCTTGCGGGATAGCTGAACTGATAATGTGATGTAACCATAAAAACAAACAAACAAAATAAAAACCCAAATAAGCAAATTACGAGTTGAGTCTAGTACTGATGAGGGATGAGGAAGTATAAATAGTGTTGCACATGCATGTGGTGATTAAACTGGGGACAATGTGACATGCTCTCCATAAACATTTTGAGAGAGAGAAGTCAGAAGGAAGAACTGCTTGAGCTAAGGGACAGTGGTAGCAAAAAAGAAAGAAGTATGAACTAATTTGAGTATATGTAGATTTAATATTTGAAGCTTTCAAGCTGCAGCCAGAAAGAGCCTCTAGAAAAGGCTCTGAGTGGCTCTCAGTACTTGCAGTACCTGCAATGGTTATACATTTTATGTTGATCTGAGAGTTTGTTTCTGTTTTTCATACATGGTGGTTTACTGTAAATGATAATATCCACTTTATAGTGAAATCAAGCAATAATTTTTTTTTCTAGGTCCAGTAATCTTAACAAAATTCTTGGTCCTTTAAATAGATGTTTATTTAATATAAAAATATGCCATGTTTGCTTATCAGTTTTTTTTCTTTAAGCTGTGTAATGCAAAGTGTGCCTTTTTATTTGGATTTTGCTTTTATGTCCTTTTTCAGATACTACTCGTTTTTTTACCGAGGAGTTATAATGCTCGGTTTCCTGAGTCCTTTATTTCATGAACTAAAAAATGCAGTTGAAACAAAATCAATACTATTCTTTCTCTGGCTCAAAATTACTACTAAAGGAAACTAAATATAAGTTACATATCAGCATTTCTCCAAAATCTGTGTTGCTGCATGGCAGCAAAGCACCTCTGGATGTAAATTGCAGCCCAGTAGCTTCAGGGTCGTGATCTGAGCTCCATGGCAAGATATTTTTGGTACAAGAAAGCTGTTGATTATTAGTATATGCTTTAGTTTCACTACATCACATCACCCTCACTGAGTTAAGAACACAGTTATTGGGAAACACTTCTGTGTATTTATGCAAAAGTCCAGCAATACCTGAGTTCTTTAGGTGCACAGTTTTTTATAAGGTTCTGAGATTTCTTCATGCTTTTTAGAGTAGAAATTGCAGCTTATGGCATTGTTAGTGCTCAGAATTCTCCTGTTTCCTTTTTCTTAAATGTCTTCAGACAGAACACGTCCTGTTGATGCACTGACATTTTATTCAGTGAAGAATGCTATCTAAATTTCCCTCAAATTTTGTGAAATTGTTTTGAGCTTGCTAGTTTTAGAAGAATTTAGAGGTTATGCTTGCTTGTTCCTGGAGAAAATCTAAAAAACCTACTGAGAAAAAGTATTCATTTGCTTTGGTGGGTCATTATATTTGGAAAAATGACTGCTTCACCACTTACAGAACAATAGGACTTGGGTATTATTTTCCCCCCTTCCTGGATGTGAAGGGCAGGTTGTAGGTTTTGTTGGTATTTGTTTTATCCAGTTCTCAGTTGACTCTTTCTTACTTTGCAGCTTTGCTCTGTCAGATGAAGCATACAGATCTTTAAGGGACCAGGACAAAGACCAATGTATCCTTATTACAGGAGAGAGTGGAGCTGGAAAAACAGGTAATAAGCAATTTTGATCTTATTCAAAAACATTCAGCCTTATTCAGAGTCTTGCAAATTAACACTGGAGTCTGAAAACGCTGAGAGATACCGGTATCTTTTTGTGTCTGGCGACTGCAGAAAATGAATGCTGTCACGCTTGTTGCTGTAGGTGTGAAATTACATAAACAAGTGTTTTTTCACATTGTCACATGATGCAGTCCTATCGCATGTTAATACAGCATCCTCATCACTATGCAAAGTCATACTAAAGTAATGCTGGTTTGTGATAGAGCGTTGCAAGAGCCAGAAAACTTTTAGGCTCTCCCTTGGGAAACATGAAGACAGAGAAAACTGAATGCTCTTGGTCTTCGAGACTGGAAGACAGTCCTTTGCGTGTCTTTTAATAAATATATACATCTAAACTGGATTATGCCATTTATCCAAGGAAAATAAATAATACTAGCTGATTACTTTGGAAATTTTGTCAGTCTTTTGCATGCTGTGCTCTGTTGCAATTCTAAGAATGGCTTGTGTACCAGAACACTGCGTTTCTCAGGCAAAGCTGAAATTGCCTTGAAAATGACTGCTAATTTTTAAACTGAAGTGGTAGAAATCAAGTGAGGATTACATAGCAGAAGTGCAGAACACTTTAGGTAGACTATAAAGAAGAAAGAAGCCAGTGATTTTCTGAAACAGCAATTTAAAACTGAGTCGACTTGCAAAAGGCAGTGGGTAGGAGCGCATACATCTGTTACCATGTAATTTAATAGATTTTTCCTTTGAATCTGAAAAAATGGGGAGCTTTGTATGCTTAAAATGAACAAGACTTAAAGTAGGTAAAAGAAGTTGCTTTCCAAACCTTTTGTGAAAATGTAAAGTGTAGCCTTCATCTCTGTTTTAATTTGTCTGATTAGTGGCATCCAATTGAGAGGTCTTGAAATCTCGTAATATAATCCTTTTTTCACTTCAATAACATGAAAAGATATGTGTGTTCAGTAAAAGTATATATGAAAGTAATCAAGCTATTTTTCATATGATTGTTAGAGATTCTATCTAGGAGTTCAAACTTTTAGAAACAAGTTCTGTACTGGTATTTTTTTAATGTCTTGATTTCTTCTGTAACCATGAATTATCAAGCAGCTCATACAACTGAGGTCCACCTTTTATTAATTCATTTATTAATTTGAAGGCCATGACAGTGGTTGATTTTCTGAACTTCTCTATTTGTAGAGAATATTCTGGTAGATTCAGATTTATATAGAGATTTTGACTCTTTTGTAATTGTCAGAGTCATATGGGACATAATACGTATTACTCCTTTAAAAAGGTAAGTACATAATAATACAGGGTTTAAAATGCAAGTCAAAAATTTACTCAAAAATCTGTGCTATTCTCTAACATTTGATGTAACTACTGTTGCTGAAATGGGGCTATTAGCTGGGAAGTCAGGTTTCTACTGCTAAAAAAAGAAGAGCACAAGGGAGGAAGTTCTTGGAGTTGAGGAAACAAACCTGTTAGTACAGATCCTATGTAGCTCTGGTTTAGATCTTTAGTAGCCAGAACATTTGACACGTTTGGGCCGGAAGAATTGAAACTGAACTGTCATCAGTCGGGATTTTTATTTACTTCCAATTTTGTTCTTGTTTCACTGCATATTTATATTGCTAATCAATGGTAATGTCATGCAAGAAAACACGGTACATTACGAGAATGAATGGTGTATTTAAATATTTTTAGATGTTAAGGTGGTGATTCCCTTCCTGGTGTCTTTATTGGATAAACAGTGTTCCTATTAAAAGAAAAGCCCTTTAATTTCTTTCACTGATGTTCAAGGCCTGTCTTGAAGTCATTATGTGTTGTCTTAATGCATATTATTTTATAATACCCTATTTGCTGCTTCAGTGCTTTCTCCTCTCAGTGACTGAGTAGCTTTACTTAAAGATGTTGACTGTTTTAGGAAATATTTCAAATCAAATAATCTGGTAATTCCAAGCTCTGAAAGGAACAGATTCTTAAAAATGAGAGCTGGGTTCAAGGTGTGATTAAAGGAGATGGGAGACCTTATGGACACACCTACAGTTCTTGCTCCTTGCTTGCTTTCTATGTTGCAGATTTCCGTAGTTTTCTCTACAATATGGGATAGTAATTTAATGCTAGCCAACATATTTGATTAAATAGGAAAGAATCAAAATCCAAGGGATAACTTCTTGTTTGTCAGTTCTTTCCTGCAATTGAAATCCTTAAATTTGTAACAGATCTCTGAGGAACAAGTAATGGGTTTTTTATGACCATTGGGTTGAGTTCCAGCTGTTAGTAATTACATTGTATATCAGCTGATGTTGCCTCAAATTTCACTATCTTATATCATACTAAACATCACAGACTATGTTTATAAACAGAATCCTCTTTCAGCTGCTCTTCGTCCTGACTGGCACAAACATAAGGGTTGGATGGATTATTTAATATTTGTTTCTGTCTGTATATGGGTGATTGACAGCCATGTGAACCCAGCTTTGAGAGTCCAAAAATTCTTCTGTACTTCTTTAGAAGTTTGTACCTTCAAATTAGTTTATTTGTTGAAATGAATGCTTCCCTTTCTCTATTCATTATGCTTTGAAACAGACTGTACAATGTGATGTGATGTGATGTTGAATTGCAGTTACTCATTTACCTGTAGTATACTTTACAGGTGTAATTACATATGTATAGTGTTGCATGTTTACATTTGTGTTATTGTGTATCTGCTGATATTAACCGCTTGAATTTTGCATCTTGAAACTGCTTGGGCCTATTTTTTCAGGTTAGATCAAAACATTTCCAATGCATCAGCTAGGGATAATGTTCTTCCCTTACTGAATGCCTCTTACTGAGGCTAAATGAAAAAGTAGTGGGTAGTGTGCCATATCCACTGGTGGCTTCTTCAGCTTGGGAGAGCTCCAAATATTTAAGTCAATAGGGTGCCTGATAGAATGACGTGGATCTCATAGCAGGATATGCTGCTTCCTTATTTCCAGATGGTACAACAATGCAGAAGAAAACTGAAATGAAATGTGCTTACAGTTCTTGTCTGGCATGGTGAAAATGTGATGGAGATGAAGTTTCCCAGTTATTTTATGTTCTGTTTGCCAGTACTTATCACTGGTTTATTTTGCTCTCCCCCAACAGAGGCAAGCAAACTTGTTATGTCATATGTAGCTGCTGTGTGTGGAAAAGGGGCAGAAGTTAATCAAGTAAAAGAACAACTTTTGCAGTCAAATCCAGTTCTTGAAGGTAAGAATCTCATAAAGCATGTATGAGTGTATTACCTCTGTGTATCAGTTCTCCTACTGAACTGGTTTGGAAAACTGTAGCTGTTGTTGTTTCATTGTTATTTGATGTTCAGAACCATAGGAGATGCTTTCTGTGAATACAGGCACAAGATTTTATTCAGTTACAGAGAGGTTTCCTTGAGAATCCAGGGAACTACAAACCTGTCAGCCTGACCTTGGTTTTGGGAAAGGTTATGGAGCAGATCTTCTTGAGGGCCATCACACGGCACGTACAGGGCAACCAGGTGGTCAGGCCCAGTCAGCATGGGTTTATGAAAGACAGACCCTGCTTGACTAACCTGATCTCCTCTTATGACTAAGTGACCCACTTAGTGGATGAGGGAAGGGCTGTGAATGTTGTCTGCCTAGAATTTAGGTCCTTTGACACCATTTCCTACAGCATTTTCTTGGAGAAACTGGCTGCTCATGGCTTGGATGGGTGTCCTCTTTGATGAGTTAAAAACTGACTGGATGGCCTGGCCTAAGGAGATGTGAATGGAATTAAATCCAGTTGGCAGCCAATCACAAGTGATGTTCCTCAGGGCTCAGTACTCGGGCCACTTCTGTTGAATATCTTTTATCAGTGAACTGGACAGGGGGATTGAGTACACCCTCAGTAGGTCTGCAGATGATGCTAAGTTGGGTGGGAGTGTCGAGGGTAGGAAGGCTCTGCAGAGGGACCTGGACAGGCTGCATCAATGGGCTGAGTCCAATTATATGAGGTTCAACAAGGCCAAGTGCTGGGTTCTTTGGTCACAACAACCCTATGCAATGCTACAGGCTTGAGGAAGAGTGGCTGGAAAGCTGCATGATGGAAAAGGACCTGAGGATGTTGGTTGGCAGCCAGCTGAATATGAGTCAGCAGTGTGTCCAGGTGGCCAAGAAAAACAATGGCATTCTGGCTCGTGTCAGAAATAGTGTGACCAGCAGGACTATGAAAGTGATCATCCCTCTGTACATGGCACTGGTGAGGCTGCATCTCGAATACTGCATTCAGTTTTGGTCCCCTCACTACAAGGAAGACATTGAGGTGCTGGAGAGGATCCTTTAGAGCACAAGACCTATGAGGAGTGGCTGAGGGAACTGGGGTTGTTTAGCCTGGGGGAAAGGAGACTGAGGGGAGACCTTATTGTTCTCTACAACTACCTGTAAGGAGATTGTAGTGAGGTGGGTGTCAGTCTGTTTTCTCAAGTAACAAAAGATAGGACGACAGGAAATGGGTTTGAGATGTGCCAGGGAGGGTTTAGATTGGATATTAGGAAAAAATTCTTTTCCAGAAAGGTTGTCAAGCACTGGAACAGGCTGCCCAGGGAAGTGGCAGATTCACCATCCATAGAGATATTTAAAAGACGTGTAGATATGGTGCTTAGGACATGGTTTAGTGGTGGACTTGGCAGTGTTAGATTTATGGTTGGACTTGATGATCTTAAAGGTCTTTTCCAACCTAAATGATTCTGTGATTCTATGAGAAGAAAACTGTTTCCTGCATGAAGCGAGAACTTAGGAAATTAGGTCATGTTTCCCAGACTCCTCCTGCTGCTCTCGGAGGACGTACCCTTTCTTAACCCTGCCTTGATGGTGCTTGGCTGTATCAGAAGACTTCATTTCAGTCCCTCTGATTCATTTCCTTCCAAATTTTATTATTATAGTCTCTAGTAAACAAACAGGCTCTGTAAGGCGTTATTTTTCTTTTAGGAAAAAAAAGCAAGTGAAGAAATGGATCTTAGAAAAAACTTAGCCAATCCATAGGCATGCCTGTTGTTCCCTGAGGCGTATTGTTCCCTGGGTCTGGTGACTGTTGGCCTCTCTTCCTGACAACTACCTTTCCTGCTCCCCCATGAAAGACTTTATTCTTTAATTAGTCATTTTAATTTGAAGATGTTGGCTGCCAGAAACAGGATCTTAATTTTTCCTGGAGATAGGATATATGATCCTCAAAGCTTGCAGTTGTGTCCCATTGTCTAATAATTGCCTTCAGAAGTGCCTTGGTTAGCACTGACTTATTTAGGTCTATTGTGTTGATTCCTGGCTTGGTCTTTCCCACAGTTCTCTAAGCTGTTGTGGTGCCGAGACAAATTCTCGTGACAGCTGTACAATAATTTTACATTATGGCCACATGATATGCAGTGTTTGTAAGACTGTTGAGTGTCAACATTTTATTTATTGCCTAGCTATCTATACATATACGCGAGAATTTGGAGTCTGTAGGGAGCAAACACTCTGTGTATTATGCAAGTGAGAACGGGGCGGGGGAATTTAGAAAAAAAACAACACAACAAACAAACAAACAAAAAACAGCAAAAAAAAGGAACTGGATGGCTAAAATGTGGCCATTGGCTGTACCCAAACCAAAAATTGTAAGCAAAGGCTCGTAAAGAAAGGATGAAATGTTAAAGTTCAAGAAGGACAGGGAGCTGCTGGAGAGAGTCCAGTGTAGGGCTGCAAAGATGATTAAGGGAGTGGAGCATCTCCCTTATGAGGAGCGGCTGAGGGAGCTGGGTCTCTTTAGTTTGCAGAAGAGGAGACTGAGGGGAGACCTCATTAATGTTTATAAATATTTAAAGGGTGAGTGTCACGAGGATGGAGCCAGGCTCTTCTCGGTGACAAACAATGATAGGACAAGGGGTAATGGACACAAACTGGAACACAGGAGGTTCCACTTCAATTTGAGAAGAAACTTCTTCTCAGTGAGGGTGACAGAGCACTGGACCAGGCTGCCCAGAGAGGTTGTGGAGTCTCCTTCAGTGGAGACATTCAAAACCTGCCTGGACGCCTTCCTGTGCAACCTCATCTGGGTGTTCCTGCTCCGGCAGAGGGATTGGACTGGATGAGCTTTTGAGGTCCCTTCCAATGCCTAACGTTCTGTGATTCTGTGATTCTGAAAATATAATAATAATAAAAATGCTGGATAAGCCTTTCTTTGATCAGGTATGTTCCACTTAAAGCTGAATGGGGGATTGCAGTCTTCCATTGCTTGGGATTCATAGCAAAGAGCTGTGTTGCTTTTATCACTGTCCTGGAAGGCAGGATTCAGGTGTAGACAGAAACAGTAAGGGAAGTCCGGCAGCTTTCCTTGCCAAAGCTAGGTTTCTCCTCAAGGACTGCCAAATTTATTGCATTTCTTTTTGGTTTGTAAATCTTTGTTTTAATGCAGGAGGAATAGATTAAGTTTACAGAAGAGTGCCGTATCATTTAAAGTTATTATTTGTTCTACTCAGTGGGGTGGTAACTGTCTAGGTTTTTGGAAGGTAGGACACTGGATTATTCCACAAGGCCACTGAGTAAGCCTGACTGCTTGCATACATTTTGGACAGAAATTAAGGATTTGTGGTTAGATTTGTTTTTCTTTGGTTATGTGGTTCTGTTTCAGTCAAGCTGCAGTGCAAGAAAATGACATAAATGTTACATATACATAATTTATCTTATAGGAATTCTTTTTTTTGAGTACAGTTGCTACTGTAAATTAGCTTTTGGAAACAATGAACTTAAGGAAAAACTGAGGAATGTGTCTCATGCTTTATAATGGGAGGTTTGTGCTTGATTCTGTGCAGTTATAAATGACCCTACTGTTCAGCACTGTGTTTAAGAAAATGCAGTTCAGAGATTTGGTTGTTGAAAAGATGATTTATTGCAGGGCGTAAAGATTTTAAAAACAATTCTTTCACTTATCCATGGCCTTCAGGAGCAACAAACTTCTCCTTTTGGCTTCAGTTCTTTGATCAAGAATAAGTCTACTCATGCAAGTTTGTTGAAGCCTATAAGCATGTATTTATTTCTGTCCAAAAAACATTGACTTGACCTGATCTTTGAAAATGTATATGCTGTATAAATAAATACTGGGATAAATAAAGTCTGCTGTTGGAGTGCTATACTTAATAATTATGAGGACACTCCTGTTTGACTCGGGTTGCTTTCACGTTATGCAATATTAAGAACTTGAGTTGTCTTCCAGTCTGAGTTCTTGTCCTGCCTATGTTCCAGGCTGGTTGCTGCCCATCTGAACATGGCCCTGGGAAGTCCTTTCTTGGAGAGTTTTCATTGTCAGAAAACTTGAGCTAAAGAAATTAAACCCAGAGTATTCAGAGAGCTAGTTTAGGTCAAGTTGAAGAGAGTGTTTTAAACTTTCTTTGTAAATCAGACTTATTTCAACTGATTAATATTAATTTTAAGCTAAGATAAATGTGTTGGAATAGTGTAAATAGATCAGTTTCAAATAACTGATTACAGTGTCCCATGCAAACAATTTTAAGTGTCATTCTGTAATTTTTTCAGTTCTGACCTCAATCTTTTACCATCTTCAATCCAGGGAACTAAGATTCATTTCTTTGAACTGAACAGAAAGAAGTATCGCCTATATCTAAGTTATTTGGGTAATAAAAAATTAAATTTGATGACTCAAACTCCAAGGACATATTCTCAGTCCAGGTGCAGTTTTGTCTTGGAAACATTGTATGTTTTTCTTTCACTTCCTTTAAACAAAGGAAGTGTTGAGATGAAGCTGCTTTGGACCTTCATAAGTGTTTTCTCATTTGTGATACTGTCTGTCACACTCTCTGTCCCCAGTGACTCACACCCATGCAGTGAACAGGGTATTGTATTTCAGAAGTCTGTGATTCCTTTAAATATATTACTAGTCAGGGATAATTTACCATTTAATTTATTTATTTTTTTTACTGATAGAATTGGTTGTCATATTTGTTTTCCTCTTTCTCCAGCTTTTGGAAATGCCAAAACTGTGAGGAATGACAACTCCTCTAGATTTGTAAGTATTTTCTTTATGGCTGAATTTGAATTATGTTTAGAGGGCGCACGTTATGTTGATGGCTGTTTCTGTTTTACCTTGTATCAGCCATCAAGGCATCTGTGTGGAAGGAATGAATAATTTGGAGAGAGAATTTCGTTATAGTTGTCTGAGGACCATGGTGTTTGGAGAAGGCAAACGCCTTCAGTAGCAATGAGTATTTCATTTTGTACATTCAAACGTTCTCCTTCTCCACTGTGTTAGTAGTGCATTATTAGCAGTCACCCCTGTTTTAAAAAGGTGTTTCGCCTCCTCGTCAGAAATCTGATTCTGATGTGGGCATAAAGTCCTTTGGAGAATCAAAGTAGAAGTTGAATCAAAAAAATAGGATGTGACAGTCTGTGACTGGATAAAAACATAATTACAGCACAGCTGGATTCTTTAATTTTCTGGCACTGGTGGCTTTAATGTCAGTGACAATTTGCCTGGCAATGGTCTGCTTAGCAAGTCCATCTTTCTGCGTGTTCTCACTTTCCATCTATACGTATACTTTTTTTTTTGGTTAAAATTTCTACTTCAGGTGCTCATTCTCTATCTGTGATGTTTTAACCTGTGCTTACGGCTGTAGTTAATATAAACATTTATAATGTTACTTTTTTGCTTTATTCTTTATAATCAACTCATTAAATAGAGGGGTTTTTAGCATGAAACTGAATGTGACATTATAGGCACTGACAATTGAAAAAAAGATTGAAGCTAGAGTTGGGGTGTGAGTATTCATCACAGCTCCTCCTGCTAAAATCAGAAGACTGAACGCTACTTTGTAATTTGCTCGCACTGAGTGAAACGTGTAAAGTAGACAACAGGATACAAATTAGTACACTGGAAAAGTGGTGCATTGTGGGTAAAAGCACAGGGATAAAAGCCTGGGATATGGTGACACTGGAGAACAGCTTTTTTTCCACATGGGAGACTTCTCCCCCCTTTCCTTCTGATTCTCAGGGGTTGAGGATATTGTTTCCACATGGCTACAAATGCTCCTTCTGCAGCTGTCAGTGCCCCTGCTTGTGAACAGAGCAAATGGTCTGTATCACAGGCCCTGCAAGCTCCACAAATGTCCATGCAAGGACAGGGCCAAAATTTGAGGCACTGCAGAAGAATTTTTTTGATGGAAAGGGCAGAAAGACTGTGGCTGTCAGAGATGACGTACTACAGAAAGGAGGAGGAGATAGCGAAAAGGTACCATTTACAAACAGAAGGCTTTCCAGGACAAAGTGCAACCAACTAGTATTTTGCCTTTCAAGTCCTTGCTTATAAACACAAGGCTAAAAATACTTTTGGAAACATCCAGCTGGCCCAGTCCTTGGGAAATTAAAATTTAATTATCTGATTTAATTCTTTATCTCAGAAATTTGAATCAGCTCAGAATTAACTTCAAACAAGAAAGTACAAGTACTGTCCTGTCTAGCCTGCCTCAGCTGCCAACAAGGAGAAGAATAGAGTTTAAGTAGAGTCAAGCCAATCTTGACAAAATACCCAGTAACCTAGAAAATATCTTTGAAGGAGTCAATGTAAAGTGCTTGGTTTTTTTTATATTCTGTAATTAAAATCAAAAGAGAAAGGGGGGGAGGGTGGAAGAAAACTCTTCCTAAAGGCACTGATTAAGGAAGTATAAACACACCAGGTTTCTCTTTTCAGTAGGTTGTGTTTGTCCTCTGTTAAGTGAGCCAGAGGGTGGTGAGATCATTTCTGTGCGTGGCTTGTGGAATTTGGTTGAATTACTACCAGCGGGTTTTATCTTTCTAAAGTTCCTCGCCAATGGGAGCTGCTCTGCTTTTGCCTTTTCTACACAGTATGGGTCTGTCCATTTTGTCACTGCTAAATGTAGCTGTTACTACATTAAACACTTGTCATATAAATTAAAATTATGCAAAGACCAGAGTGATCTTTTGTGATGTAAAAAAGTCAAACAGAAGTCAAGGAAACGCACTGAGCCAGTACAGCTAAAAATGAAATCGCTTTTGCGGTGGCAGTCTGTTAATTGTTGCCTCTGGTCTCCTGAGTTACAAGGCAAAGAGTTCAGTGGGGAAAATCCATCACTTTTACAAGGCAGGCACGCTCTTAGGGACAGACACCCCGCGATTAATAGCAGTAACCACTGCCAGCCAGTCCTTCCAGCCAAACTGAGCGGCTGTCCTTCAACTGCCTGGATTCATGCTCTGAGTAGATGTTACACTGAGAAAATAAGTCTGCATGGAAGATAATTTCTTTCTGCATTCTTGTGTTAATAAAAATAGTAATACCTACATGGCTACAAATGTTGTTTGGTGTCCTTGGTGTTCTGGTGAAAGTTTGCATAATGTGCTTTTCCTTTATATAACCTTAGAAACGGAGCAAATTACTGGGTTGCATTACAAACCTGATTAAAGCTATTCTCATGAAAATCTCTGGCTGTGATAATACAGTTTTCTTAAAACCTCTGAATAATTTTCTGTTTTTCAGAATTTGGTGGAGTGTACAGGAGGTTGCCAGATTGCTCTTTTGGCTTGTAAAAATGACCAACTAAGTTCTTAAAAAAAACCTCTTGAGCTGTTTTTCTTAAACAGAACTTGTAGTCTTAAAACGTATTGCTTTTTCAGGGAAAATACATGGATATTGAGTTTGATTTCAAGGGTGACCCACTTGGAGGAGTTATAAGCAACTGTGAGTATTACTCTTGTTATTGGCATAGTAACAGCTTAAAATGTTTTGTTCAAAAAGGAAGATGGTTACATTATTGAAAACATCAGATGCATTTGTCTCATTGAATCTCTCCATTATGGGATAAATTCTGCTTTTTAATTCTCTTGTTTTTTTGATGCTGAACTTTTAGTGTACCTTAAAGTGAAAACAGACTTGAAGAAGTAAGCATGAATAATGAATGTACCGTCTTGTTTAAAAGGTACTGAGTAATGTGTGTGGCTTCGTATATTGTCTCTGAAGCCAGTAGCAGAGGAATAAGGGTATCTGAGGCTCTTTTAGTACTTGAATCCCTGGGATCAGTTGTGTTACTTGATTTGATGGTCATGTATTTATGGTAGGTGATGTCTGAGATGCGTTGTTTCGTAATTTGTAAGAGTGATATAAAGTATGCTGGAGAACACCATGAGGTGGGTATGTTTATTTGGAATAAAAGCATTTTGTACTAATTTTAACACAACTTACATAGTAGGCAAAGGCTTATCGTGAGAGAGTATGAAGAGCTGTTGAATTTAGGGAGGAAAAGGTGGCCTCAGAGGTTGTGACTTGATGTGAGGATGTTGCTATGAAATCTTTAGCAGTTCAGTAATTTTAACCAGATCTCTGTGGGGAAGAAAGAGGCTGGGAACTGAATGACAGCCCAGGATGCTTTGATTTGCTTTACTTTTGAGAGTTTAAATGCAGCTTTTAAAAGAAATTGCTCTTCTGTGCTATATAAAGCTATGTTTGTTTGTTTTTCTTATTTTTAAAAAGGGATGGAGGAGGGCAGTGAGTGACTATGCTAGGTGTCACTGACCTAGCCTTGACCTCTCTTCCCGCTCAGCCAAATTCATCGCTGTTTCTAAAGACTGACTTTTGACTCCATTGGCATTTTCTGGTTGTGAAATAATGAGAATTGTCCAAGGTGAACTGAACTCTCCATACATAACATAAACATTTTCAAACATTGTGAAGGAATTTATGCGTAAATATAGGTTTTGGTTTTTTTTAATAGGGCAAACATTTTTTCTGGAAAAGGTCACCTTTTGGAAGTGTGCCTCAAAGAGCATGATTTTTGTGACAGAGTACATCTTGAAACTCAAAGCAGTCACTGTTTTAAGTGTTTACGGCTATCTATTAACTTTGACATTTGGCACTCAAGGAAATTAGAGGCCAGGCATACTCAGTGTATTCATCAAAAATTAAATGCTAACAGAAAGCTTTTAGCAGGTTAGCTGTGTTGTTTCTTTCTTTTTATTTCACATTCAGAATAGATACATAAAAATGAACCCTCCTTTATAGAGTGGACATTCATAGTTGGTCTCTGAAAGTACTGTGCTGAGTCATCTAATTAAAATATTGTGTCATATCAAAAGGTGATCCAAGTAGTTACTCTATTGTTTATCTGCCTTATAAATCTTTGCATGTAATTATAACTTTATATGTAATTATAATGATGTGATGATATATGTAGTCAAGGACAGACATATTTTTAGATCTTCCTAAAAGATGCCTATTTTAGGCGTTCTGTCTTCTCACATTTAATAAATATCTAATAGCAAGAAGATTAATTTAAATTTAAAAATTAAGACCTTATATGTAAGCCCTGTTCTGGAAAAGATGCCACTTGTTCAGCTGTGAAGCACCCCACACTTGACAGGGTATGTCACAGGTAAATACTGAGTTCCTGTAGTTGTGTGTTAATGTATCTCATCTTTGATTTAATGTTCACAAAATTTGATAATCCATCTCTCTTTCTGTAAGAGAGTTTGAATTCTCTACAGTTTAAAAGCAAGTTTGTTGTCCTGCCTTAGGTTTTTTTCCCCATGTCTGCAGCATTGCATTGGAACAGACGAGTTTCTATTGTGAGGTATCACCATTCTGGAGATACCGGGGTCTTAAATTCTTGTACACTGCTTACAGTTTACTCTGCTTGTATTCAAACTTAGGGTTTGTCTTCTTAATTCATCAAGAAGGAAGTCAAGTAGTGCTGAAGTTTCCTATCCTTAAAAGGGAAAGTATGATTAGTTTGTTGATAAGTATTTTTTGCTTTCTGACCATCTGTTGGTTTGGTGTTAACGTAATGTGAAGATGATATAAAAATATTTTGATTAAACTTTAATAGTTGTATCTGATGAGCTTGATTTCTAAACATCAATGAAGTTAGTGGACTGTTTGGATTGCAGCCTACATCACCAAACTTTATTTCATACTGTGAGTGACTGGAAGCAGACATGGCGAACATCTAGTTTATTTTGGTGGATAACAAAGGTAATGAAAATAAGCTACTAATTTTATCAGACTGGTAAAGATAAGCAGAGACCCATTAGGCTAAAAGGTCTTGTTTGAAATGTTCTGGTCTGTCCTACTCTGAAATGCTGTGAAGCTCTGTGAAAGTCAGTCAGTCTGCCCACAGCCCTTTATTGTGACCTTTCCTTGGGCCATTCTCCTGGTGCCTTTCAATGAGCTCTTACTTCTTAATGACAGGGGCTGACCTGTAAGTGAACCTTTCATGGGATGGAGCTAGAGGGCAAAATTATCAAGACAATGTGTGCTGTATTATCTGTCCTGTCCAGTTTGCAGTGAATGGAGATGTCCATTGGCTTTAGCAGGAGCTGACAGATCTGAGATGTTTAATGTGCCATAAATGGAAGAGTAAATCTTTTGAGTGAAATTAGAATGGGAATAATAAAATGATAGGGATCGTAATGGAAGAGGTTTGTAACATCTATTAAGTCAGAACTGTTATGTTCCCAAAGTGAAGATAATTCTATGTTTGAACAGTGTAAAATACATATAGACTTACTACATGCGCATTGCATGACTCCTCAGAGCTTCTGAGTACACTGATTTGTAAGGCATTTGACATATTGCTATATCATGATGTACAGTCATAAAAAGAAACTGAGAGTAGAAAACTTGAGATGAACGTGATTTCTGCAATCTTGAGTTTTATTACTTCAGTCAGGAATTTTTTTTCCCTTAGACTATAAAAGAAAAATTATTTCAGGTAATGTGTTGTACTTGTTTGATCCTATGTTGGCAGCAGCTGAGGTGTCAGGGTAAGAAGGAGAGTGAAGAAAGCTGAGTACGCTGGGGTGTGTGTTAAGCCTGGGTCATTCGAATCCTCCCTTTTAGCTAGTTTTCTGTGAAGGTCCCAGCTTGTTTTAGTAATGGGTAGAAGATGCTGAAATCTGTGTGAGATGAAGTGCACAGCCCTAATGCTAACAGCCAGCCCATCCATTCACGGGCTAACCCGTGCCATGTGTGTGGGCGTAGGACGCCCAAATTACTCTTGAGGTCTCCCGAACACTAAACCCGTGCTGTATTGTCACCTGTGACTGCAGATATCCCATCACTGTTTAGTAACAAACATCAGTCCCTGCTTAAAGGTGTGCTGCTGCTCTACAACCCATTTACAAACAGAGGAGTTGCATTTACATTTTCTCTCACTGAATTGAGTATGAGATGTATCTGCTCTTTCTGTTCTCCCGTGGGATGTTTATGGTTGCTGATGCTGTAGTGAACGTTCTTGTGAGCGCTTGTGCACTCAGACTTTTCTTTCCAGAGCACTTGTGAAGAAAGACAGTTGGAGTGTTGGGTAATTAACTTGCTTTCACCTGCGTGTAATACTGTGGAAATAAATTACAGAAACCATCAATATTATTCTTAGCTTCCCATTTCTTAGAAGTAGCATGTCAGTGGGGATGGGAGCAGGAGGAATGAGAATAGTAGTTTCTTTTCCGCTTGTAATTACATAATAAAATAAATTTTATGTAAAAGTGGATATGGTTTCTTTCCAAAGTAATAGGTGCTAATTGCAATAGCTTGTACGGCTCCAAAATATGACACTCTATCCGCAGATGCTGCATCTGTTTTGTACTTAAGGTGATGTTTGTGTGCACGCTTGGTACGTTAGTTTTGTGATTGGCTTTGTGTGCAATTAATTTTATGGTTGAAATAGTTTTGCATAATACAGTCCAAAATGTTCGGACTTGCAGTTGTTTAGACCTTTTGAAAAGTAGGGATCTGGTGTTAATCTTTCCCAGAATATTTGTAAATCTTAAGTTTTCCTATTTCATCTGG